TTTGGAATAGTAAAACCACTCCCAAAAGATAAATCTGGTCACTAAATATTGAAGATAATGAAATTAAAGAAGCCCTCAAGTATCATTTCTATACTTCCCATATTAACCCCTGACATTCTAAATATTAGCATTTAGTGTTCATTTGATTGCAGTGAAACTAGAGCCTCCACTGACTCTTGGTAGCCTGGTAAATTTTATACAACATGAGGGTAAAGCATTGCAAAAAATGTTGGTTCTCTTCAGCCAACTGATTCTATCCCTAAGATTTTATACAAGGAGAGGTAGTATTAAGAGTTAAAAATCAAATGCACAAAGATAAGTGTTCACTGACAGGTAATCTAATTGCCAGTATCTGGAAATATCTAAGTGTTCTAGAATTGGGGATGGCTACCTTCTTCTTAAAGGCAAAGACAGTAAACGCTTCTGGCTTTGCAGACCACATATATGCAGTGTCTGTCTCAGCTCCCCAGCTCTGTCATTATGACACGAAAGCAGCTACAGACAGCACGTAAGCAAGGAGAGGGCCTGTGCTCCAATAAAACTTTATTTACAAAAACAGGCAGCAGGCAAGATTTGGCCCATAGTCCCCTTTTCTATAATAACATGATTCTCAAATTTTGAAACAGCAAAATATGATTCAACATTTAGTAGCCAATTTAGGGTCCCATAGAAACTTGGAAAAATGTAAGTGATGCAACGTTAAAAGTTAAACGCCAGTAAAAGATGTACAATGGAAATTATGAAAAGCGTGTATACAAATAGAAAATGGCTGAATGGGAGCATACAAATGAAAATGAAATAAAGATTGCAGGATGATGGGTGTGCCAATAATTTGAAGTTTGCCATTTACACTTCGGACTTTTGCACAATGCCTCAGGCAACAAACTGATATTTGAGGTGGACAGGACACCATGGCCCTGAGGCCAGATTGCGGTTGCTGTAGCTTCCTCATCCGCTGCACCCCGAGAACATATCTTCGTTCATTCAGTTGTTCATTACTTTATTTAAAATTGGTTTATTAACAAATCATTGAACATCTTTTCCATGCCAGAGGAAGTGGGAAGTGATGAAGAGATATTATATATTTCAAAACATCATGTACATCATAAATACATATGCTTTTTCTTTTTTCTTTTCTTTTTTTTTTTTTGAGAAGAGTCTTGCTCTGTCTCCCAGGCTGGAGTGCAATGGTGTGATCTCTGCTCACTGCAATCTCCACCTCCCGGGTTCAAGCGATTCTCCTGCCTGAGCCTACCAAGTAGTTGAGATTACAGGCATCCACCACCACACCAATTTTTGTATTTTTAGTAAAGACGGGGTTTCACCATGTGGGCCAGGGCTTGAACTCCCGACCTAAGGTGATCTGCCTGCCTCGGCCTACCAAAGTGCTGGGATTACAGGCGTGTGAGCCACCATGCCTGGCCTACATATGTTTTTTGTCAATTAAAAATGAGCCAGGCATGCAAATAAATAAAAAATCCCTGCTAATACTTTCTGACTGTGATACATGCTGGGAACAAGATGAATTGGAGCAACGAGGCAGAGAGAGGACCTTAATCAGGGTCTTCAGGGAAGATCTGGGGAGGCAGAGACAAGGCCAGCATGGCTGGAGCCTGGAGGACAGTGGGTGAGGCCGAGAGTGGAGTCAGGGCAGGCAGGGCCCTGGCATTAGCGCAGCTGCATGGAAACATCCCGCAAGTGATCCAACGTGAGCCAGTAAAAAGAATCAGGTGATATCAATTTTAGTAATGCATTTTATGCAACCCAATATATCAAAACGATTCATCATACCAATATGTAATCAGTGTAAATATTATTAATATGATACTTTCTATTCTTTTCTTTCTCTGCCTTTGAAATCTGGTGCCCAGCATGTATTTTATACTCCAGTATCTTTTTTTTTTGTTTTTTTTGAGACACTCTTGGTTAGTTGCCCAGGCTAGAGTGCAATGGAACAATCTCAGCTCAGTGCAACTTCTGCCTCCCGGGTTCAAGCAATTCTCCTGCCTCAGCCTCCCAAGTAGCTGGTACTACAGGCAGACACCACCACAGCCCGCCATTTTTTTTTTTTTTTTGTATTTTAGTAGGGACAAGGTCTTACCATGTTGCCCAGGCTGGTTGCAAACTCCTAAGCTCAGGCAATCCGCCCGCCTCGGCCTCCCAATGTGCTGAGATTACAGGCGGGAGCCACCACGTGCAGCCTACTCCAGTATCTTTATTTCAAGTGCTCAGAAGCTGTGTGTGGCCTGAGGTGCTGTCCTGGACAGTGTGGCCCCGAGATTTTCAGGGCTTTGGTGTCTGGGAAGTTCCCCTGAGATGAGAAGGCTCTTTTCCTGGGAAAAAAATGAATTTTTGGCCAGATATGTACTAACCTCTGCGAAGTACACACTTTGAGTAAAGACAGTTGAGCAAGGCCCTTCCCTGGCGGATCTGACAGTCGAGGTCTGAGAAGGGCATTGAGGGTGAAGTCACTGGGTGTCTTCAGGAGGGAGAACTGGGGATGCTAAGTGGGGTGAGGGCACAGAAAAAGACCTGGGAGGGGCAGAGGGAGAGCAGGCACTCACATTTCCTTATTTTATCCAGACTCAGGCGTTTTCTTCCTCTTTGCTGCAGACGAAATTGAGTCACAGCAGGTTGACTAAGTTGTCAGTGCTGGACAGCTGATAGGCGGTAGAGCTCTGGGAAGCTCTGGGACTCCTGGAGGGTTGTGGAAAATCCTGGAAGTTTTGAGAGGACTTGGCCATGGGCAACCTTCAGGGAGGTCCCCCAGGCCCTCTGGCATACCCAGTATTGCCTCATTTAGCACCCCCATGTTCTTGGGACAAGATTCCAAGAGAATGAGGTGGAACAGTAAGGTTGCAGTGGCTCAGCTGCTCCTGGCTCTAAATAGCAGAATGCCTGAGTGAGAGTAGTGTCAGCAGTGATGGTCTTGAGTGGCTCCACAGAAGTCTGCAGGCAGGGGATTCTGCAGGCAGATGGATTCCAAGTGTGGCTCAGCGGCATCACTGTGAGTGGGCGCCTCCTCTTGTCCGGTTCCCCAGCCTCTGCATGGGCTGATGTTAACCTCATGATACGGGGGCTCCAACGACAGGCCCCGCCTTCTCACAGAGTAAGACCCAAAGACAGGGTTGCAGGGGGACTCCCGTCCCAGGAATCTCTTCACTGGGGAGAAAGCGCTTTCCCAGAAGCAGATCTCTCCGAGAGACCCCCTGCTGAGCTCCCCTTGAGTTCTGAGGTTGGAGTGAACTGGGTCCATGGGGGCCACACTTAGCTGCAAGGCATGCTGGGAAATTGAGTGCCTTTAGCACTTTTGGTGCCTATTATGGGATGTGGATTGTGTCAATGAGGAAGGAAGCTGATAACCAGCAGGGGAGCCGTGCCTCGCTGTGCGGCATCCACAGGTTCACATCCACAGCTTCAACCTACCTCACACTGAAAATATTCCAGAATCGAACCCAATACAAATAACAGTGCAACCATAAAGATAATACCAAAACACAGTATAACAACTATGCACATAGCATTTACATTGTATTAGGTATCATAAGTAACCTACAGATGATTTGAAGTATATGGGGAGTGTGCATTGGTTATATGCAAACACTGTGCCGTACTACAGAGGGACTCAAGCATCCGTAGGTTATGATATCTGAGGGGGACCTGGAATCAATTCTGCATTTCTAGGATAAGGAATTGACTCCTCCCATGTTCATCACCAAGTTACTTCCTTGGGATTCATCTTGTAACAGTAATCTGGGTGTACATGTCCCTAGCTAGACTGACGGGTTGCCTTGTTCATCTCCATATCTTCAGCACAGTGCTGGGCATGAAGTAGGTTTTGAACAAACAGATGAATGAATGAGTGATTCAGAGTATCTCAGGATTCAGCTGCAGACCCATCTCCTCCTGGTGTCAGCCCGCCTCCCCGGCTGTCACATGGGTCTGCCTGGACTCTCTTGCAGCTAGGAGCAGGGATGGAGGCATTTGTTTAGGTGTGAGTTATTTCTAGGAGCCTTCCAGGAGCCAGGTCCCAGTTAGGTGCTGGGGATGGCGAGTGGGACACATGATGTCTCCCGTTAGATAGTCAATGAATCATGCAAATGAAGGAGACACTTGTGGCGGAGAGGGGCAAGTCACCCCGAGAGCTGGCCCAGCCTGGGCTGGTGGTCAGGGGCACGGTCCTGGGGAAGTGACAGTGAGTTGGCACTGGAGGAAGGGGAAGCTGATGGGTGGGGGGGGGGCAAAGGTCAGCAAAGCTTTCCAGGTAGAGGGACAGCATGTGATGTCAACATCTTGTGGCAGGTGGGGGAAACAGAGTAAGCACCGTGTGTCTGTGGCCCACCTGGCAGCCCTGAATGAGGCTTGGGTGGGCTGCAGATCTGGAGGGAAGGTGATGGTGGGAAGCCCACCTGTGCCCGCTTTAGGACAAGCCAACCCTAAATTAGGATGGGGAGGAGTTATGATCAACAACGGCCCCCACCTCCTGAGAAGATGGAGGGGGTTCCCTAGAGCAGGTGAACCCCATGGCCCCCCACTTCCCCGCCACCTCCCCACCCCTCTATTCTCTAGCCCTCTCTTCCTGGAGGGCCCTGGTCTTAGACCTGGCCTCTTCCCCAGCTGTGCCTGAGGGCCAGTCTTGGCCAGGCCCTGTCTAAGCCTCGGGGAGGGCACTTCAGTGGCTACGCCAGTCTTGCCTGGGTCTTGGGACAGCCTGAGATTTATGTCCAAGATCCGTGAGCTTAGAACTCCTCATGTTCGCCCTGCGGATGTTTCACGTGCAATTTGGGAAATTGGGAACGCTCAAAATAGAATTTGCCCGTAAAATCGCCTGAAATGCAGTCCAAATGTGTCTGTAAAAAGTAACCAACGAGCTATTTATTGTTATTAGTTCACATTCTTCAGGCTTCCACGTGGGGCTGGGCATTGATTTAATTGGGTGCCAGACGAGTTTGGGGGTGACCTCAGAGGCTGACGTGGACATGCTGGGCTCTGTTTTGCAGAGAGAAGCCGGTAATCAGCACATTCTCCTCACTGGCTCTGACATCTGACCAGGACACTTGCAGAAAGCCCCGCTGGCCTTTCCAAGACATTCTTCTTAAGGTAAATTCCTAAAAAACCCGGCAAGAGTCCAAGCCCGTGCATACATATGCCAAAATCTAGAAAAAAGGAGCAGACTATAAGATGATAAAATTGTAATTAGGCAATCCCCTTCCAAAAGAGCCCATAGCAATGCATTGCTTCTATTCTTATCCTGGTAAAGTACACCTCACATACGAGTCACTATTGTAACCATTTCGAAGTGTAGATTCAGTGGCATTTAGTACATTCACAGCACAGGGCAACCATTGCCACAAACTCCGGAACATTTTTACCACCCGCAGAGGAAACCCTGCACCCACTCACAGACCCTCTCCATTGTCCCTCACCCCAGCCCTTGTCAACCGCAAGCCTGCCTTCTGTCTCTATGGATTTGCTTTTCCTAGATGTTTTGTGGAAATGGAGTTATGCACTATGCAGCCTTTTGTGTCCAATGAGCACATGAAAAGATGCTCACCATCATAAGCTGTCAAGGAAATGCAAATCAAAACCACAAGGAGATGCCACCTCACACCCACCAGGATGGGTGTCATCCAGGAATGGAAAGTCACCAGCATTGGTGAGGGTGTGGGGGAACTGGAGCCTGCGTTCACAGCTGGTGAGGGACAAATGGTGCCATTGCTGTGGACACCCACCGCTTCCTAACAATCACTCAAGACTCAGCTGCTGGCTGGGCTTGCTCGGGCTGAAGGAAAAGGAGCCAGTGGGGGTCCCATGCCTGTTGGAGCCCCAGACCTCCCGCGTAGCAGCCGTGTGACCTTCAGGAATTCACTCGACCTCTGTGAGTCTTTGTTCTTCATCTTTTACCTCCCAAGATTCTGTGAGGCCAAAATAAATCACAAGGATGGCTGGTGAGGGCCTCCCCATGTGTCCCCTGCAGCCCGTCTGGCCTGGTTCCTTCCTGAGTCTATCCCTCGTGCACCACCCACCCCCTCCACCCCTTGCCACAGGGCTGGGGCTCAGTGTCTCACACAGGCAGTTCCTGCCCCGGGGCCTTTGCACTTGCTGGAGCCACCTGGAATGTGCCCTCCCTCACCTCCTTCACACTTCTATTCAAACTCCACCTTTCAGTGACACCTGCCTTCAGTGCCCTACCAAAAGCTCTGACCCCTTCCCTAGCCCTGAGCACTCCTGCTGCTTTACTCCTGTCAATTACAGCACAGTGACTTTTGCTTTTTAGCTTTATGAACTCCCTTTCTTTCCGACAGAATGTAAACGCCACAAGTGCTAAGTAGTGTCGGTCTACTCAACACCAGCTCCTGAGCCTGAGGCTGGCGCAGAGGGGCCTTTCAAAAGGTGCTGTTGGAACGATGGACAGACTGTTGACTCCACATGAGGTAGGTGTCTTGAATGACACGTGTGCCAGACAGGTTTCCTTGCACACACAGAGGTCAGGATCTTCCTCGAGACAGCCTTGTCTCCCTCACTGCACGCGGCCCAGCGCACCCACGTTGTGAGGGGTGCACAAGAAGACAGGCTGGCGCACGCTGAGTTTGGCTCTTGTTGGCAAGCAGCGCAGACACCCTGGTTCTGGCTTAGGTGACAAATGGGGAAGTTATAAGGATACAGGGATGTGGCTGGACCTTGGAGGGGGATGGACAAGTCCCCAGGAAGGTGCAGGAATTCTGTCTCTGTTTTCCTCCTGCTGTCCCTTCCCTTTTTCCTGTTTCGTCTCTCTGTTTCTCCTGTCCCTCTCGCCCCTCTGGGTCTTTCTTCTCTCAGTGCCCTCGTGCTTTCCTCCGTGGTTCCTCTCCCCCCCACCCATGTGGTCCACGTCTGGGAAACATTTCCCCAGGAGTGTGTGTATCTAACAACCTAACAGTGCGTGCATTCTCTCTCTCAGTCCCAAGTCCAAGTTCCCTGATTGGGGATTCTGATCTCCTTTTGAGGCAGGCCATCAGCTGTGTGTGACGCACATTGCAGAAGAAGGCTTTAGGGTGGGAGTTGGGGGACAGAGGGGTGAGCCAGGCAGTTAAGGGACTCCGTCATGAACTGGGAAGCCTTTGCAAACACTGCTCACCACACGAAGGTAAAGGGGATACAGGCTACACACCCACATTTCTTCATTTGCCCACTTGCCCATCAAGTACCTCTTGGGCTCCTACCTCATGCCAGCCACTGTTCTAGGGTCTGGGTCTACATCAGTGGATGAAATATATAGACATTCCTACCTTTATTAAACTTACAACTGGTAGAGGAAAGGGTGCTTAGAGAAGTAAACACGTGACCGCACAGTCCTTAGTGCTTGGAGAAGCTCAGCGAGGTGAGATGACAGTGAGGGCAGCAGGGCAGCGGTGCCTTGGCCTCTGGCGGGCAGAGAAGGCCTCCCTGAGGACCTGAGTGAAAGGGATGAACCAGGCCGCACTCCAGGCAGGTGGCCCAGCCTGTGCAAAGGCCCTGTGGCAGGTGCACGTGTGTGTATGAAGACAGGAACGTGGGAGAAACATTCGGGGGCAGACACCTGAGTCTGGCAGGCCATGCACAGGCGGGAGAGCCCGCCTACTTCCAGCCCCTTCCGCAGGTATCAGGCCATCCCCACGTCCTTTGTTGCTGCCGTGAAAACATCTCAAGAGAACAACAGGGCTTCTCTGGGGAGCCGAGACTGACAGAACCTGCAATTTGGAGTTTAGTTGCTTAGATTGGAGTCTCAGGGAAGCCACTGGCTGCCTATGGAACTCCGACCTGCTGCTTGGCCTCTCGGGCCTCGGTTTCCCCATCTGTAGGGTGGCCCTAAGAGCTGCCCCCAGGGCCATGAGTGTCCCATGAGGTCTCGCACGGGCACCTGTGGTGCCCAGTGGTCAAGTCCCACTTCAGGGCAGCGTGTTTGTATCTCTGGGCCCCGAGGAGGGCTCCACTCGGGAAGGTAAACAGCTGCGGGAACTGTAAGGCTGCAATTGTGCGCCTGCCGACGGCAAAGATTACAGAGCTCGTTTTTCAGGGATCTGTGATGACAGTTGCGGCCCGGGGTTGGGGGAGCCTCAGCTGGCTCCCTCCGCTGCTCCAGCCTCCTGGCCGGCTGTGCGGGAGCTGTGGTGGAGAATGAGGGCTGTGCCTGGCGGCGGTCTGTGTGCCTGTTGGACAGATGGAGGCAGGCTCAGAACGAGTGACTTTCAGGCGGCTGCAAGGGGGACAGGCTGTCTCGCTTGTCAACCCCCTTCGCCGTGTCCCAAGCAGGAGGCAGAAATTCTTGACAGGAAAAGCTGAAAGATAGGTCCCCACTGGACCATATAGATAATCTGCCGGGGGCCTCTAAACCCCAGGAAAGGCCAGGGCCTGCCAGAGGCCTCACCCTGAGGGTCCCCGGGGCCCTGTCAATCATGGCCAACGCAGGAGCAGTGGGGACGGGTCAGGCCGGCGTTTAAGAAAGCCTGGCATTGTTTTTAAAGGTTAACCCGTTTGCATCTTGGGTTTCATTGGGAAGTCTGTGTGGTCACACCGGCCAATTTAGCATTTGTTGGGAGCTGGGTGAGACGGGCCGTGAGGAACAGCCCCCTGGGGGCCCTCCGGTAGTTCTGTGGTCATGACTTATGGGGAACACAGGCGGGGAAAGGGCGCATTTTTATCCCATATTTGGTGATGCGGTGGGCTTCAAGTTCTTCTTTCTCTCTCATTTGTCAGGATCTTAATGAGAAACCCCAAAAGGATTTAGAGATTTCCCTTTCCCAAGGACAGGAAATAAATGGGAACTTTCTAGGGAATTAGGGGAAAACCTGTTGCAACTTAAGACAGTAGCCTTTGTTGTCTATTTGTGTGTGAGTGTGAGAGAATGAGAGTGTGTGTTAGAGAGACAGAGACAGAGAGAGAGAGGAACAGAAGGAGAGAGACAGAGACAGAGAGACCAGAGACAGACAGAGAGAAACCAAGAAAAAACAGAGAGAGAAAAACAGAGTGAGATAGAGACAGGGAGAGATGGACACACAGAGAGAAAGATAGAGAAAGAGAGAGAGAGAGAGAGAGAGACAGGGAGAGACAGAGAGAGAGAGAGACAGAGAGAGAGAGACAGAGAGAGAGACAGAGAGAGACAGAGAGGGACCAGAGAGACAGAGAGAGAGACCAGAGAGAGAGAGGGACAGAGACAGATCAGAGAAACCAGAGAGAGAGATCAGAGAGGGACACAGAGAGATGCTAGAGAGAGAGAGAGAGACAGAGACAGATCAGAGACAGTGACAGACAGACAGAGACCAGAGAGACAGAGAGGCCAGAGAGAGACAGAGATACCAGAGTCACAGAGAGAGTCATTCTTCCCTGTAGCCCAGTCCCCAGTCCCTCCCCAAAGCACTGGGTGAGTGTCTCAGGGGCCCTCTTGATGTTTTCTTTCTGTTTCTGAGCAGACATACAGAAAAAAACCCGCCTTCCTTTAAAAAAAAAAAAAAAAGATTCTGGCAAATACTGTCCAAACGCTTTCAAAAGAAGTTGACCAAATTGATGTTTCTGTGGCAGGAGCCCACGGGTGCGTGGCTCAGATGTCCCTCACATCAGGAGAAACCCTGCTGTGGGGTGAAGGTGGCTGGCGCCTCCACTTCAAGTGCCCTCTGTCTCTGCCTCAGCTCTCTAGCCAAGGCTCTGTGCCTCTGGGGCAGTTGATGACCAAGCATGGCAGAAGCAAAGGGCCCCCCATTTCTGCCCAGCAGGGGCATCCTCTGGGGGCCACCTTCAGTCTGGGGCTCCCGGTCAGCCTGGCTGAGACATCCTCTGAGCTGCACAGCAGGCCGAGGCCCTTGCTCCGTCATGCTCCTTTCTTCCCCTCTCCTCTCACTGGTGTCAGACCAGCATCACGATGTGAAGGCTGGCCTGCACCCTCCAGCTGCCCCTCCGCTTTATGCAGCACAGCGGCACCACCTCCCCAGTACATCCTGACTCCATCATGGCGTTCCTTCCCGAGGACCCACACTGACACCACTGACAATGTGTAAGGATTGGCTTCTGGTGGTACTCAGCAGCAGGGTCTGTGGCTAAGTAGTTTCTGAGCTGAGCTCCCAAGCTTATCCAAATCTCACATTTTATAAGGGGAAGTGTGAGGCTCAAAGAGGGCAAGCCACTTGCCCGAGGCCACACACTCAGTGGTAGCAGAAGCCAGGCCACACCCAAGTGCCCCCTCCGTCTCAGATAGCAGCTGACCTTCATTGTCCCCACCCTCAGCCAAAAGCAAGCGCAGAGCAGACGTGTGGCCTGGACTACCTTTCCTGCTCTCCAGATTTTCTCAGGGACAGGGTTCACAGTTCCCCAAAATCTGTTGGGGGAAATTGCATCCCAGTTCTTGGAAGGCCTGCCCACCTTCTTCCCATGCAGCCATTGCTGCATCAATACGTGCTGTGTGGTGATACTGGCGCCAACTCCCACTGCCCTGTGGTCAGCTGGGCGGGGACCAGAGCTCAGAGAGAAGCACTTTCCAGAGGAGCAGAGCGGGTGAGGGAGGTGAGGAGGAAGACAGCAGGCCACAGATTCTCATCACGTTTTCCCCTCCTGCGCTTTCAGGGGCTTAAACAGCAATAAAAGAATGTGAGATTGTCAGCATAAATCAAGAAAATCGGAATTCTGCTGAGCCGGGGGAACATTGGACTTGAAAGAGCTATTTGCTAAATGTGAAAGGAGCCCTTGAAAGTGTTCCTGCAGGCCTCTTTCCTGCCCAAACAGCTCAGGACTGACTACTTGGTCACCTGGAATCAGGGTCTGCACACGGGCTGGAGCTGAGGACATGGCCTCGGGGCTCAGGGCAGCCGTGTTTGGGCTTCACTGTGCCCCACCTGGCACGGCCCTGCAGGCAGCTGGGCAGATGGGTCCTGGCACCAAGTTGAGGGAGGGAGGGAGGGAGGGAGGGATGAGGAGATGGCATGGAGGTAAGGTCCCTGCCATCCATTCTTCTGTAAGCCCCCAGAGGGCAGAGCCAGAGCTCATCTGTTATTCATCTCTAAGTTTCTCTCAGCCCTTAGCATAAGGAAATTCCTGCTCATAGGATGTTTGCTGACTGTGTGAATAAAAGAAATAGAGAGAAAGACAGGAGGGAAGAAAGAGATTAGGAGGAGGGAGGGAAGGAGGGAAGGGAGGGAAGGAGGAAGACGCAAACCCCTGTATTAGTCCGTTTTCACACTGCTATAAAGATACCACCCAAGACTGGGTAATTTATAAAGGAAAGAGGTTTAACTGACTCACAGTTCCCATGGCTGGGGAGGCCTCAGGAAGCTGAGGAGCATGGCCGAAGGCAAGGAAGCAGCAAGGACCTTCTTCACAAGGCGGCAGGTCGGAGACAAGCCCAGGAAAACTGCCACATTGAAACCATCGGATCTCACAAGAACTCACTCACTATCACGAGAACAGCATGGGGGGACCTGCCCCGGTG